GAATTAAGCTCAAAACTTTGAGACATATTGAAAATAAATTCTAACCCAAAAAATTAATTGAATTCTTAGTAATAAATATTAATTTCAGTAAGCAATCAGTTAAAAACTTAGTTGTTTTTTCTAACAAAATCTATACTTCAACATGAACATACATCATTAATGTCATACTGTAAATCCAATCCAGAAAGGAAGTTAGCTCCAAAATAATCCTCTAACAATATCTATACTTGAACATGAATATACATTTTCAAATTTGCACTGTCAAATCTAATCCGAAAATGAATTTTAGTCCAAAATAATCTAATCAAATTTATGCTCCAACATGAACAAACATCTTCGAACTCACGCTATAAATCCCACTTTTAGAAAACTCCAGAAAAGTATTTTAGTCCAAAGTAATCTTTTAATCAAATCTATACTTCAACGTCAGTATGCATCTTCAAACTCACCATTGCAGAATCGAGTTCATACTTAAATTTTACATTTGAAGTAAACTTAAAAAGCTCCAAAGCATCGTAAGAAGAAAAACACATGCATCTATTTAAAACCAAAAGGAATGCAGACAATATCAATAAACTTTTGCTACTTACTAACGAATCACAGAAAGGCTGATTGAAAAGTTGCAATATCCATTTCCGATGTATACAATTTGAAATACGGATCATGAAAGGCTATTTCACATCTGGTCCACCAATTGCCAGCATCAAACCACGAGAAAGAGATACTTTATACGATGTATCATTAGCGTCTCATGTTTGGAGAAGTTTGAGCTACAAATGTGTAGCACAGTTGATAAATGAAGTTCAGAGGATTTGTATCCATAGCGATTTCATTCGATACTCGGTGGTAACATCGCCGGAAGCGCGTTGGAGTGAACGACTGTTTCCTACGAGCTGTGTCAGTCTGAGACCTCGTTGTTACGACTCGCTCTAGGAACACATTGCCGACTAGGAGCCGCTAATGGGCAAGTTTAAACTGCTCCGTAGCTAGCAAACTACCATATCGTGTCGCGATATTGGTTGGACCTGCATTTCCATGAAACCAGGATCCGATACGCGTCGCATCGGGGAGATTTAACCTGCGTCTCCCATCGGAGACATGTATCTGCCACGAAACTATCTTCGGAAAAGATACGACTATACAAACACGCTGCAACAGTATCTCTGGTTAGTCTGTCGGGCTACGTTCAGACATCTTGTAATCTTTTATACTAGCAACTCGTGTATCCTCTCATCAAGTGTTCTCCAATAAGAGATAAAAATTTTAATTGACATAAAATGAAAACTGTTGGTCTGGCAACTATGTATTTGCGGATTTCACTGATAGATGGCTTTCATTGAATTGTTACGTATTTGTATGTATTTCAAACGTCAAATCCATACTGTTGTCTGATAGTTAGTACTTTAATTGTCATTCAGAAAAAATATTTTTTTGTTTAATTTCAATAACGATGATTAATTTTTGCAGATAAAAAACATTCACGAACACTGGAATTATGATATTGCTTGAAAGATGGCAAAAGGTCATTGTTAAAAATGGACAATACATTGCTAAATAGAGTTATTTCGTTCCATGTAGAAATTGTCTTTCATTTTATAAAAAAAATTCGCAATTAGTTGCCAAACCAACAAAATAATGGTGCTCGTTGTTTCATTTTGATTCGAGGAGAAAGTCCATCAAAAACTGAGCCTCGTCGCAGAAGATAATAACTTTAAAAGAATCAGGATCCTCTTAACAATTATTCTTAATTTCTTTTTCACACGATACAAAATTAAATGACGAAAATGAATTTTCAAGGGCACCATACTCCTCAAAATTATCGTAAAAATTTAAAGAATACAAAGAACGTATTAGAAACGAATTAAATAAAAACAGTAAAACGCGAACGTTTAAATATTTTACGTACTCAATGTGAGACCGTTGTACGTCCATTTTAGTTTTCGGGTTATGAATTTTTCATAGACGCGTTTGTACCGGGTAATTTAAATAGAGACAAAATCTCGGATTAAAACGGATAAAACTTCGCGTAACGAAGTTTAATTTCTATTCCGAGGGACGCGCGGGTGCGAACAGAATCTTGGCCGTCGCGTGAGATACGAATTTTGTAAATCTGTAGATCCGCGTTGCAGCTGAAACGGTAACGGCGGACCCTGCTCGCGTGCAACGTCCGTCCCGATTAATCCGACAAAAAACAAGGCGACCAAATTTACGTTTCGTAAATTTCACGCGTTTTTACCTTAATGTTTATAACCGACACCGTATTTCGTCGGATAGACGATTACGCTTGTGCTTCGCGTTCCGCGTTCCGCGCGTATATTACTCGCGATTGTCGCGAAATTCGAGTTATTACGTTTTTCCATCGTTCCGTCGCTGGAAAAATTCGATATTTCAATCAACTTACAGTCGTCTGAATAATTACACTGGGCAAGCATTCGGGGATCGTTCAAATATAAAACTCTCCTTGCATAGTTTGAAGAAAAAAAAACCAACCGTTTTGTTCATTAACGGAGTCTTTTACTCTAAAACCGAATAAAGAGACATTATTTTTTTAATTTCTCATTCAAATACTATCGATGATAGGTGTTTCTGTTCTCCAATATCGAACTGTATTATAGAAGAGCTTCCACCAAACGTTCAACTGCAAGCAATTGATTTGCAATGTAATGACAATGACATTTAAAATGTATCGATGCTAAATAAAAATAAAAGTAAAATTCATCAAAATGTATATAATAGAAGCTAGGATCGTTCTTGGCAAGTCGATTATACACTCACAGTAATTAACCGATCGATTCACTATCTTCGCCTCAATTCTCTATTCTAACAAACTAATCCACTGACTCTGACAAACAAGCCGAACCACTGGCACTCGATTCTCGATCGCTGTGCACTCTTATGTTCTCGCACAAACACCACCAATTCGTTCCACGCGTCGTCAAACGCCCAAAACGTACACTCTAGACCCTTTGAATGCGAACAAGCGCGACGCTGATCGCTCTGTGTGACCGGAATTCCGCCAGTTACAGGTAACAAGTGCTGTGACCGGAACTCTTTTAAGCGTAAGCTTAAGGTACTATTTGGTTCTACAAACGCGTAACTAGATATACGACTTTAAAGTCCATCCGTTCCTCTCAAACTCGTGCCATTGATTATTTACAAAAAATATACAGGCTGAACTTCCTAACTTCATCACCTTTGTATACAAAACGAATAATACAATCAATGTGTTCATATTAATAATAATTATAAAAATTAATATCGAACTCACCGATGTAAATAGCTTTAAAGTTTAATATATAAAAAAGGAAAACTTCACGAGCGTTTCAGACATTTAGCATTCAAACACACAACAACATTCCACCTCAAACATACTTCAAAGTTGTTGAAATCGACGAGGTTGTTAATTTGATCAACAATTACTGATACTTTCTAATTCGTATAATTCCAACATTATACATAAGCGACAATTAATCTTCTGCTTCCAAACACACGGCAACAAACCCCGTCAAACGTGCTCCAAAGTCGTTGAAATCCGATGAGATTGATAATATAATAAATAATTACCAATATTTTCTAGATGTAACAATATTTTAACAGTCGTTTGGCGCTTTCAGCTGTTCTTGTCGCGTGTCGTGGAAGGTTAATGCATTTGCGGTGGGAGGCGGCAATTTATGGCAGCCGAGGACCGATGAAGTATACGAGACGGGCAAAATTTATTTTACTACGAGATCTCGATAAATATTTACGCGCGCGTAGATTGAAATTCGCGCATTCGTTTGAGCTTGTACGTCGCGTCGATTGGTCGCGCCCGCTGGCTGAATATTCATAAATATCGGCACGCGTCAATGATTTCCAAAAGCGCTCCGATACGTCGATGTGGGAGCAACTTGCGTTCGTACGTTAGTTACGTTCGTATAATCGACATTTAATTAAAAGCGATTCGGGTGTATCGGTAGATCAGTGATCACCGGCTACAGATGCCTTCGATGTTACGAAACATGCGGGTTATATGATACAAACGATAAACATGATTGAGTCAGACCGTGTTCAACGCAATTCTATACGTTTTCCAACAAGAGCGACAGAACTTCCAGGTGAACGTAGCCACCACATTCCTAATCCACTTATTTGACATTTGTATTGTGTAGTACTTCAAAAATCACTATTTCGTTTATTAGATTTTAATTTCGTCACTCTTCTTTTTCTTTTACTTTATACATTGTTCAGGGTCGATATAGCGAGCGGGTTTATCATATGGACGTGACTTCTCCGCGATTTTTGAGGATTAGGCCTTCAAGACATTTTTACTTGCTAAATTAGGATACGGTCATTAAGGAACCTCCGAACTCCAACCGAGGTTTTCCTATGGAAAAATTCAGATGGGAAAGTCAGATTAATTTGAACAGAGGAACCTCTTCAATAGTTAGTCTCCGCAAGAATTCAGTTCTGCGTATCAGAAGCAACAACTTCCGAAGGTCAAGGTACAGATTAGGGGCACAGAGTGGCTGTGCGATACGCAACGACCACGAGCAACATTTGTAAACCTACGAATATTTGTTCGTGGCCGAAACATACATTATGTAAAATAAGTACCCGTTTGTAAATAAAACTCAAATTGCTTACTTAATCATTCAAATTTATTTAGTCGCCTTTAAAGTAGGCCCCATCAGAAGCAATGCACGTATGCCAACGCTTCTCTCAGTCTTCAAAACACTTTTTAAACGCTGAAGAAGGTAGCGCCTTCAGCTCCTTCTGCGAATTTTCTTTTATGGCCTCTATCGACTCAAAACGCCTTCCCCGAAGGGGTAATTTCAGTTTCGGAAATAAGAAAAAGTCACAGGGGGCCTGTATATCTGGTGAATACGATGCTTGTTTGGTCACATTTGTTGAGTTCTTGGCCAAAAATTTGCGTACCAAGATCGATGTGTGCGACGGAGCATTATCGTGATGCAAGATCCAAAAATTGTTTTTCCACACATCTGGCCGTTTCCGACAAATACTTTCACGCAAGCGTCCCATGACGCTCAAATAATATTCTTTATTTACTGTTTGTCCATCTAGAAGGAATTCCGAATGAGCAACACCACGATAATCAAAGAAAACAGTGAGCATGATCTTAATTTTCGAGCGACTTTGACGCGGCTTTTTAGGGTTTAATTCATTTTCTAAGCGTTATTCCGAAGATTGTTGACTTGATTGCATATCGTACTCATAAACCCATGTTTTCTCACCGCTTATGATGCATTTCACGAAGGTAAAGTAACTAGAAGCTCGTGAAATCATGTCTTCAGCAACTGCTTTTCGATGTTCTTTTTGCAGAAAATTCAGCTCCTTCGGAACAAGCCTTGCATCGACGCGTCTCATGCCCAAAACTTCAGTTAAAATGTTATGCACGGACATGTGAGACATTTCCACTTCATGAGCCACCTCTCTAACACTCAGGCGATGATTATCGATGACCATTTTTTTTATCTTTTCGATGTTTTCGTCAGTCGAAACCATTGACGGTCGGCCGGCACGCGGCAAATCTTGCACTTGTTCTCGGCCCTCTTTAAATTTTGTACCATTCGTATGTGTTAAGGGGTTGAGCAAAATAATTTAAATTTGATGAAAGAAACTTTCTAATATGCTCAACTTCACACGTCAACGTTAATGGCGAGTGAATATTTGTGGGATACGGAAAGTAAATACTTGAATCACAGTCAGTTGAATATTGTAACAACCAATAACAATTTATTTTACGTCGGATAGCCGAAATGTACAAATTCTTGAATATACTGTAGATGAGTGGTGTTTAACTGTCAATTTTGATCTGCTGTCTGGGCCAAGGTTGCCCAAGCAGCTAACCTCGCCATGGGCGTACCCAAGACCATGGGAGGCAGCATCGGTCTTAGATTGGTCAAAAATTGCCAATATACTGGCCAATCAGTTTGGAGACGAAGTTGATTGGTCGGAGGCGGTATGTAACGGTTATTTTTAATAATTTTCCCTCGTCTGGGTTTTTCCGCGAGGCGACTGCGAGCACAGGTCAGCGCTTTGTGCCCAGATGTTTCTTGCGATACCTGACTCGCCATAAAACATCTGCCACCGATTTTCGATGTTATTACAGGTAGTATAGTCATAGAACGCCTGAATTTGGAGGGCCATGCAGATTTGAAAGAATTTAATAATTAAATGGCCGCCTTAATGGCGCTTGGTCATAGGCAAAACTTGATTGTATGAAAGGTCTGACTCTATGTACATCCGCTGGCTTTATGAATTTACTGTTACGCTGCAACACAGAATAAATCGTAATTGTTATTTCGCGCCGTAACAGTATGTTTGCGTTTTTGATAAGCACGACTTATCATAGGCCTTCTGTAACATTTTTAACGCTTCTGCACAAAAAATGTCGTTAGAAACGCAAAATTTAAGTCAAATTCTTTGCTCGACAGTTCTTTCCAACGCAAAAATCGCAGAGCACACTCGAGATCGGCTGGTGTAAATAACTGCCGTGAACACACTGGTTGTCATATTGCGATCAAAAGCGTAACAACTGAATACAATGTTGCCTACTTACACACAAAAATTTGTTTCAATACATGCACTGTGAGATTTGAAAGTGAGAAATTCCGGGAACTTATTATACACAATGTATACTTTATAATTAATTCTTAACTCCCATCTTATGTTTTATATAGAATTCCGTATTTATCTGATGTAAAAGGACTTTGTCCGTTAAATAAACAAACATTAAACCATATGGAGAGACACACAAATGCTCAACGCCTTGAAATTATTAAAATTTCTTATCAAAATCTTGTTCGTTTCGAACAACGTTTAGCGCATTTCCTTCAATTTGTAATCAACAGAACTAAATATTTGTTATTTCATGGAGACATTCGTAGTCGCTCACAATTGTATTCCAATCATGAAATAACAGTGAAATATAACATAAAAATATAAAATATTATTTCGAACAACGTCTGGAAAAGACAAAGTAGTGTGAAGTAAGCATAGTCAGACAATGCAAGTGATGTTAGGTTGCGTACAGTGAGACGGACTTTGCTTGCATGTTTTTACTCGTCAGTTTGAAATTTATTTTAAATATAAACTTTCAGATAATGAAAAGCTTCAAATGCACTATCAATATCAATGTTATCTAAAATTCGTAACTCTTTATTCTCTATATAGAGAATTCCATAATAAAATTTCGTTCATTTAAAAGCCTTCCTCTGTGAAAGAAATAAAGTGACAAGATAAAAGTGATAACATCCATTAAGGAAGAGAGTAAATTGGATTTGGTGAATCTGTTCGTGGTAAAATAATGGACCCGGAGAAAATTAAAAATATAATCGCATTTATCCTCGTGGAAAATGTTAATCATTTTTCAATGTAATACAATAATTCCTTTTACACGCAAAAAATTAGAAAGGAATCTTGCTAATAGTGGAATATAATGCCAGCTAAAAATAGGTTAAGTAGTCTATATATACACTGAATAACGTCCATGTTTCTTGGCAAAAGACAAGGCAATGCTCCAAGGTGGTAGAACCGTAGGTATTCACGTAAAGAAAGTATTTCACTCGCGAAGGAGATAGGAATGGTAACTGCATAAGTATAATAGCAGAAACCATTGAATATTAGTAACGCGACTTAATACTGATAAGAGCCGCTGAAAAATGAGAGAAAGATGAAAGAAAGGGAGCCGTCGAAATACTCCCTTGGGAACTTTAGATAACATTGGAAAAGTACAATGCTTGTCCCAAGAGAACTTCTAAGGGAGTAGATAAATGGTTTTAACAGAATGATCCCCAGGGTTAACATGGTCTTCTAAAATACACGCCTGATATAAAGATAAACCGGACGATAGCGGAAAGCAGGAAGCCAAAAATGAATTTTTTAATACACCTCATTGCCATTGAAAAGCATTCGTCGAACATTAATTGCAACCCCATTTTCCCTAACGTATCCTAGAATTATTTCAAGTTGAGCTCTGAGAGGAAACCATTTGCAGCAGCAGCCACCAAGTTCCTCAGTGCACTGACAATGGTACAATAATATTTTTTTTTCAAATGTAACTATAGTAGGATCTCTATTATCAGAACTAATTGAAAGAAGACGCAACTATTTCTCTAATTGCTCATTTTTTATTTAAGATGAAACATCAATCGTAAGAATAACAGGAATGGAAAAATATTATTGGTAAACATTTTTTTTTTTAAAGTTTAGGAATTGCCGAAGAAAATGTGTCAGTAATATTTGCAAGTACTGAATAGTACAAGGAGTGTCAAATTAGAACGTCAAAAAGACAGTGAATGCAAATGTTTTAAATACGTTCAATAATCTACTTTCGTTCTCAATGTTTTCTAAAAATTATTTCCATTTTTTTCATCTCTAGTTTGAGATAGAGCTGATTTCGAATAATAATTATGTATCCCATTTACAGGAATATTGGATTTTAATATCCAATTATTTATTCACGGCACTTTCTTGAAACTAGAAAACAAAATTCTGTTTTCAAATTTATTTTTACGTTGCTAAATCCAACGCCAAAAATTATATAAAAGTGTGAATTTTCAAAGCTTTATCATTAAGAGCTAATTGAATTTCACGTGAATGCTCGACGTTAATTAAACGACCGTGCGGAGTTCATCAGGGACGTCAGCCTCATTATTTCAATAATAACTCGTTTCCTTAATTTAATATATAATCACTATTTAAGAGAGTCCTCTGTTTTACGCTATTTAATCCTTTTCTGTATTTGCACACCTCTGAGTTATCATAAATCGACTGAAATTAAGTAATTTAAGTAACTAAGTAAGTAACGACAAAAATTATGAATTATATTTTCAAAAACATTTTCATATTTCTAGCTCCTAAAAAAATATTTTTATTTTGATATGCTCATAATAATATTGTTTCTAATACGTGATTCTATTTTAAATAAAACAATTAGCTACTAAATAGAATAGTTTCTAAAATGGTGTATATAAAAATTTTTTAAAGACAAACTTAATTACAGATATGCAAAAACTGGAAAATGTATCGATTTCTCGAATTAATAAAATTCTTTTTACTACTCCACGTTTGATATTCCAACATAGTATGTCATATGTCTCTGTTTTTATTTTAGCTGTATATTTTGCCAACAAACTCCCACACATATAATTCATGAATTGTTACTATCAACTTTACACCATGTTTGTGCTTTAGGAACTGCAACGTACATTGTTGATACACGTAGTATACGACATTTCTCTATTTTTATTTTATCTGTATATAAATTTGAAAACAAACCATTGCAAACTCAATTGACAAATTGTGCAACAGTATTGGTATTAATATTTAAAAATATCTGACTTTCTGACTACGTAAAAATATAATATTCTTACATTTGTCATCGATCATTAATAATCTTCGAACCTTCTAGTTGAACAAAATGACTAAATATCGAAAAGTTCGTATCGTGATGTTCCATCGAAGACCATCGTGAACGTGTTTGCGTGAAAGTAGTCGTTATCGATGCTTCGTCTCGAGTTGAAATTACATCAAGGAAGTTCCCATTCGTCCGAAAAAATTTCTTACTCGCGTGCCTCTACGTTCTCGAACTTTTCCGTGTCTCTGTTAGACGCGCGGAACCGCTGATTCACTGCATTTCGAGTTTGAGACCTTCCGCGTGCTACGTTTCTCGAAGACTCAACTTCTCGTACATTTTTACCCAGGTCGCTATTACCGTTTCCACGGCGCGCACAAACACACGGACACGGTTTCCAGACGGTTACGCGCAAAGAACGGCCACGAACGAAAAAGAAACAGCAGGTTCTCGATCTAACAACCGACCGGAAGTATAAAGTTTTTCTCGGGTGAAAATTAAACGGCGGCGTTCTAACCGTAAATCACCGTGTCAAGCGCATCGACGCGTACCAAGGAAAACTCGAGCGATAATGCGGCTGAAAGGAAACAAAAACCTCGCGCGCACGTCACAACGTTATCCTCATTCTCTTGTAAGCTTCGCGGCGACTTGAAAACGCGAGCAAACAATATTTGCCAGCTGGCTGGCCGCGCGTCCTCGCGATCTACGTGGAAGTTTACCTAAAAGATTAACGCCCCCTGTAATCCGCTTTGTGGTTGATTGCCGAGATCCCGTGCTCCTTGGCATAATTTACGCCCGCGACTTATTATAGCCTCACCGCTGTCACAACGCAAGCAGCTTGCGACAAACGAGCGTAGTTTACGATCGCGATAGGTTCCTGCGAGTCGCATGACCGACCTCTCGAGCTCTCATCGATGCTTGCCACCAGGTGCAACCTACTTCCTTTGACGGCTGAACGGTACCGGATGCGAATATCGTTATCGGAAAGCTCGGTAGCCTTCTTTCGCCAGCTTTTCTCGTCCGACGGCGGTCTGCGTGCCGTATTAATTACATGATCAATCCGAGCTTGCTGCTTTCCGCGCCCCTTCAGCGTAATCGGTTCAACTAT